GTAAACCACAAAGGAGTGACTAAATGTTTCCCATCATACCGTTAAATCAAACCACAACAACGCAAGCCTGTCCATCACAGTTCAGCTATTATGTTTATGTATTCTTATTATATTAAGGGTTCAGTTAGAAGCACAAATAACTTTCCAAAAATGAATATGATGCAAATTAAGCTAAACTAACCAAAAAGAACAAAAACTACTTTCAGTTGCTGTCTTTTACCAGACATATTTCACAATAACTGAAGTAATGACACTGAATGTTATGTTTATGGAAGCAAAGCTTTGATTCAAACGTTCCAAAAATGCAAAAGTCTGCAGGTATCATTTATTCGATTGTTCTAACGCGGTGATAATGGATGGCATGTGAAGGAATCGTCTTTTTGCATTGGATGGCAATCGACCATGCATATGCACAGGGTCCATATTAGTTGAAAATAGTCTCAAAACGGCAATATTGTTTCTCACGATAAATTCTTGGGCAATTTATCTTCAAAATTGCTACAAAAGAAGCAATAAATATTTATTTTTGTAATAGTACCACAAAATATCATAATAACAATTCCAAGCCCCTGGATTCATATTTTTGGCTCATCTGGAAAACTGGATGTCTCCTTCAGCTCAAGGGCAGCGTGGCGGCGTGAAGCCCGGCCTGAACAAGAAGAGTCTGCACAGCGGGGATGGCGTGCGTCCATCGCCGCCTTTTGTTGTCAGGCTGGTGACTCAGCGAGGCGAGGCGGCAGGCGTGTTGGATCCGAGGCACATTTTGTGTTTGTGTGAAAAGACGTTGCATCAGGCTGGGGGAGTGACTCATCACAGCTTTGAAGAACTGACGGTTTTAAATGCGTATTATGAGACAGTGCACAGCTGCCATGCAGAACAGGCTTGTACACCAAAACTTAACATGTTTAGTGTTTTGAACGGGGTGGGCGACATGGACTTTAAGATTTATCGCAATATTTTATGGTACTTTTGTTGTAGCAACAAAAGTGATACTAAAACTATTTACTGGTTCTTTTTTAGGTAAAAGTATCTATGGGAAGTTTTGCTGAATGATAAAACGGCCCAGAAATTATCACGATAAATGATATTGTCATTTTGAGATCATTTTCATATATAATAACAATTATGACATATTAATGCAAGCATAGCCACTTAAAGATAAAACGAACTTCAGTTTCTAAAGAACATAAATATTTTAAATATCCAAAAATAATTTTAAAAAGGGTTATAAAGTCTCTGTAACCAAAATTGCATTTCAAAAATAATGACAGGAAAATCTCAGACAGGAAAACAGCCAAAAGTGGCAGGTAGGTCTGGTGAAATTTTAGTTTTTTAAAAAAGTGCTAGCTAATTACCATTTATATCCATTCCTAAAATGCACCCCGGGGGGCCACACAAAGCTCTTCTAAGGGCCGAAAATGACCCCCAGGCCGCACTTTGGACACCTCTGCCGTAAGAGAAGCCAACTGTTAATAATGCTGGTGTATCATCACCAGAACAGGACGTTGATGGGCTGGACTCAGCACAACGAAGAGTTTTCATAATGAACGAATGAAGGATCTGGTGTCACATTGCTTCTCTCTGATGACGGGAATACCCCTGACCCCTGCACCAATTATCAGATCCTAAAAAAGACCTGTGTCCCCTTGAAGAGGGAGAGTTGGGATTTCTGGGAGTCACTGGGAATGGTGGGATTTTCCATGTGGAAACAGCATGCCTGTACAGCTGCTCATCCAGATTAAATGTTTCTACTGTTGAAATATGGAAAGATAGAAGCAGAAAATAGTCGGATTTCAATGTTCAATAATAGACCTGTCATTAAATACATTAGAATAGTGTTACAGATGGCTATGGAAGATGATTAGTGCTGAAAATAGAGAAAACAATACAGATTTTTTGTCCCAAAAAGACTTTTGGAAAAATGTAAAAAAATCTGTGAAGTACTTTTTTTTAAAATCAAAATTGAGGAATTGACAATTTAAATAAAACTCTCATATCTTTCTGAAAAGTTACTTATAAGTTAGTTTCATCACATTTCAAGTGCTCTAAGATATTTGCTCTAGAAATATACTTGGCAAGATTTTGTGTTTTTGCAGTGCAGTGACGAAAGTCACACTGCAAAAGTGTAAAATCTTAATATTTTATCCAGTTTCTTAGTTTGTCTAATTTCAGATACACTAAACTAATAGTCACTTTTTAGCAAGATGAATTAGCTTTTTAAACTTATGACTTATAAAATGTCTTGGAATAAAATCTGCCTGTGGAACTAGTGTGTTTTTCATCAATTTAAAGAAATTATTAATTTAAAACTTACAAAAGAAGCTACTTGTAAGTTAGTTTTGTCTTATTCGCACCAGAAACTAGACTAGATTTTGTGTTTTTGCAGTGTAAACACAAACTCTCAGTGAGAATAAAAACAGTCTCTAGTGAGACAACGAGCTAAAAAAAATCGGATTAAACTTCATCCTTTCAATTTGCTCTCTCAAAATAGAGGAAGTGTGATCTTCAGGAGCTTTTGTGCGAGCGTGCAGGCTTTCTTTGATGCAGTTTCGGGGAAGCAAATTGAGGGTTTGGGCTGCAATGAAAGACCGAGGTGAAACGGGTAGCTGTCATTCAACGCACTGAAACCAACAAGGGTGGCTCAAATAACCTGAGAAAACAGATCCATTCAGACTTTCAGTGAGAAATAAAGAGAAAAAGATGATTCAACAGCCACACTACTAAGATTTCTATTTATGTAAAATACAGTAAAGAAATTGACCTCCTGTAACAGCTAAATGTAAGTTTATCAAAATCTATAACAGTTTTAGCATCTACACTGCAAAACTAAATCTACCAAGTACTTTAGTTTCTAGAGCAAATATCTTAGTTATACTAAGTAATGTTTCTTTAAGATATACAAGATTTTAAAAGTCAATAATTCCTTAATGTTGATAAAAACATACTTGTTCCATTTCACTTAGAAAATGGAAAAATGTCTTGTTATAAATAAATGAAATAATCTCAGTGGAACTAGTACTTTTCCCTACATTTTAAGAACTTATTCACTCAAAACAAGCTCCTCTGTCTTGTTAAAAAGTTACTTGTAAGTAAGTCAGTTTTATCTTTCTTAAAGTTTTCAGAGATAGTTGCACTAAAACTAGACAAAAGAATACTTGGTAAGGTTTTGAGTTTTTGCAGTGTCAAAGTGACCTTTAAATGTTGCTTTGAAGATTTTTGTATTTAATTTGAGGTTGCCTCTCTAATAAACCGTTTGCATGCTAACATGAGTTAGCGTTTGAGCGCTAGTCTTTGAAGTTTGAACACCTGCTGTAAAGCGACATGACGAGCAGTGATTCATTCTTTTTTTGTAGTGTTTTAGCAGAAAAAGCCCCGAGTGTGTTTACAGTGCAAACACAAAAGAACCAGAGGTCACCGCCATGGCAAACCCGAAATGCTGCTTTTTTTTTAACCTCAACGCCAGGCGTCCCTTCCAGATTAACAGATGTTCTTCAATTTCACAGCCATAAAAACAAATCCAGTTCTTTTTCTTGTGAGTGGAGAAAGTTTGCACGTTTTAGGAGAGAAAACCAAACAAAGATTGTGTCTTGTTGAGGGGAGTAGCTGCTTCTGTTTTTATGTTGCTAGTTTGCTGCCCTGTAATTTGCAGTCATGTCTTCCCTCTTCTGAGATTTTCTCAAACGTAACCAGACACCGCCGCCGTATTTACAACTCGTCAATGTTCAGGTTGGTTTACAACGGTTACAACTTAAGGTTTTGATTTTTCAGAAACAAAACTTGATCAAGTCCTTTCTCCTCCTATGGAAACATGAGATTCAGGCTTTTTCTGTCTTTTACCAATTACACTTCGAACTTGCAGGACCTTTGATCTTCGGGAAAAATGGGAATTCTTTGGGCATTTTATGTTTGTGCATAAAAGCGTTATGTTCCCAAACTGTATATGCATTCAGCTCTAAAAGTTGGTTGATGTGTTTTAAAGTTGCATTTATTGATGAAAGGGTAAATGATCTGATTTTTCCAATCAGATCTCTGCAGAAGAGGATCAGGGCCACCAGAAAAAAAAAATACTTTTTTTTCCTCAAAGTTATGACTCTGAGTTTTGAAATATTTTCTCAGAAATTTAATTTTTTGTAAATAAAAAAAATTGCCCCCTAAAATTCAGATTCTTTTCTCCGAATTCTTACTTTATTTCAGAATTCTGCATATGATATAGGTAAAAATTGTCCAACTCTTATCTGTGATTGTTGCATCTCCACTGAATACTCCCTCCAAAACGCTGATCCTTTATAAGACATTTCCTAGTGAAAATCCATGCTTTTTTATTCCCATTACTGCCGTTTCTCCCAGCAGATATCAGCAAGTGGTGAATGATAAAAATAAGATGTCAAACAGGAAGATGAGCTGCCACTCATGTTGAATCCCTGCAGAGAGGATCTGAAGCGACGAGATCCATAAATTGTCCGTTTCTTAAGTATAACTACTTTATTAAGACTTGGATCACTTCTCAACCTTCCTGCCCTCTTTTATTCCCTCAGAAATAGAAACTTGATGGTCCTGTTGTGAGTTTAGGGAAGGACAGGCGTGAGTTTGGTAACTAATTATGAAGGAAGCCATTCAGATTATTCAGATGCTTGCTCTGCTCCCCCCTCCAGGCAGTGAAGGGTCTTTTCTGTCCCCAGAGAGTGATGTCAGCACGGCCCATTGAAAACAGCCGCCGTGTGCTCAGAGATGAATGCCCCGGCTGAGCACAATGGCCCCAATTTGAATACCACGCGGATACACTCCGGATCGGAGCTGCAACAAAAGAACCAGGGGCTGCTCCGGTCCCGTTTAGCCATGCTGTTACTCCTGGAACCGTGAATTTGCAACAACCGTTTATGCCTTTTGTTGGTGTTCAAGTGTCTTTGCAGAGTTTTGAGACACTCTGAATTTCTGGGACCGGATTTTGTTTTTTGGTGGGTCTAGAAGCTGACGGGTGTTTTTTGTGCTTCTGGATGCAGATCTACACGGACTGGGCCAACCACTACCTTGCCAAGTCAGGACACAAGCGGCTCATCAAGGACCTGCAGACGGACGTTACGGATGGAGTGCTGCTGGCCGAGATCATACAGGTCGTCGGTAAGTTCGCTGATTTAATTACAAAGTTGGCTAATTAAAACCAACTCTGTTCACGTGGCGACTGGATGGAGAAAAATGTAGGATACATTACTGGTTTTAGAAGAAGTAACTTTTATTTAGTTTCACTTCTTAAAGCCATCACAGATGGATAGAAAAAAGAGGAGCAGTTTTCTGCTGAAAAACTCAAAAATAGGAGAGAAAAAACGAATCTTTTTGAAAAAAACATCATTTGTCTTTTTTTTTTTACTTTTGAAAAAATAAAACTTTTCTTAGCTCCAAAAGTTGAAAGAAAAATCTCAACTCAGAAATTTCCATGATATAAAAGCTTTTTCAGTTAGTATATCCTCAATATTGATGAAAGTGTTTGTTCCTCTGACAGATTATTTCACTTACAAGGAAAAATGTCTTTTTATAAGAGAAATAATCTGCCAATAATCTTCTGGATAATAACACTTTTATCAATATTAAGGTGTTATTGTCTTAAAACAAGCTCCTGTGTCTTTCTCAATAGTTGTAAGCTGATTTTAAGTTGGTAATATTTTGTGTTTCTGCAACCTGAGGGATCTTTCTGTGATGTGCTCCGTCTATAAACTGTTTCCCACTTAAGTTAATAATTCAGCCTCTAGTAATGCAGGATGTCTCCAAAGTTAGTAATCCATATAAGTTGCCATAGTAGCCGCCTGAAGTAGGCTGTGAAAGTTGTTTGTTTCTGCGCCTTCTTGAACTTTGCCCCCGTCAGAGTCGTCATCATCATCGTTCTTGTCATCTCGTCCGGCCGCCCTTGTGCTGTCATTGCGTCTGCTGGCAGACTGGAGGCTGAAACGGGCCGACGCCAGCCGACCGAACGCTGACTCGGCATGTCAGTGACTGTTTCGTCTCCCGGCTCTTCCCCCATGACCTCTGACCCAGATTTTAAACTTCCCCTTCATCTGAAGACGGCCTCTGTTCTCATAATGTAGCTGTTGAATCGCTTTTATTTCCGGTGAATCTGTCGCTGTGCTGCTCTACACTGTAAAACACTAAATCTTGCCAAGTAATTTTGGTCTATTTTCTAACAACAGTGTGTTAGTAGACTCGAATTAAAACAAAACTAACATTTCAGCAAGACATAGGAGCTTATTTTATGTAAATAATTCCTTAATATTGATGAAAACGTTGTGGTTTAATTGGCAGATTATTTCACTTTTAACTTGAAAAAATTTCTTATAAGTCAAATAATCTGTTAGTGCAGCTAGTATTTTTCATTAATATTAAGACATTATTTACTTGACATAAACTCCTGTTCCTAGCTAAAAAGTTGCCTGTCAGGTAAGACGATTAGGCCCACTGAAAAAAAATCTGACATTTATTTCTCAGAATTTTGAGGAAAAAATCAGAATTTTTTATTTTTTATTTGATATTTGCACAAGAAACTGGATTATAAACTGTCTTTGGCTGTGAAGGGACAAAAACACAAAAGTATATCAGAAAAACTGCTAAATAAATAGAGAAGATAACCATTAGTTAGTTAATATTTCACGGTTTTGTCATTACGTTTGGGTTCCTACTGCTTCTAAAATCAACCAAAGCACTTAAAAAACATACCCGGCGGTTTTTCTCAAGACGTTTCTGTCTTTTGGTGTCTGAAAAATGAGCCGCTTCAAAAACCTTTACCTAGCAACCCCAGCGGAACCCAGCCGTCACCTAGCAGCACAAACTGAGTTCCAGAATGTTTGGTCAGCTGGTTTTCCTCTTGATGCGCTGTACAATGGCTGCTGGAAAAGACTCACGATCCGAACCGCTCGGTGTGTTCTCCACTTCTGCTTTTCCAACAAACAGTTGCATGATTGCAGATCTGTTTGCAGCCATTTTTTATGTGCGAGTGTAAATGTTGAGCAAAGGGGGCAGCAGATTATTTGATCCCACTGACCATATCTGGTCAAGGGAACCAATATATTTGGTTTCATTTGGTTGATCAAATACATCGGTAGAATACTGGCCGATATGTTTAATGGATTTAAAGTGACGGAGGCCCTGAAACAGCCTAAAATCTCATTATCTCCGAATGATTTTGTACAAAAAAACTGTGATGAACTCTATAGACCGTAGACTGATCCTAATAATAAGGGGTTAGCTTGAAGGACAAATGAAGGTTAGTTGGTTGTGTCTGGTGGTTCTGTGATGGAGCGGCTCTTTTGGCCCCGCTGCGTCTCAGAAGCAGAAATCTGTCCTGCTGGCACAGTTGTCAGCTGTGATCTGACGGCCGTGTCTCAGCTGCTGTGGGCTGGGCCTTTAATGGCTGGGAGTGATCCTTAACACCCCCGACACACGCACGCACACACACACGCACGCACACACACACACACACACACACACACACACACACACACACACACACACACACACACACACGTTAAAAAAAGCAACACAACGCTGCTGGTCGGGGCCTCAGATGCATTGCTCCCATTTGTTGGGGCCGGATAATGTTTCATGTTCCTCATTCAGGCATCGACCATCCAGCACTCAAACATACTGAAGTCTCCATCCTTTGGATTAAAACAGGATTATTTTACTGAATAAACTCAGATGAGTTTCTAATCTCCCCTCATTTTCTCTCTTTTTCCTTTTTTTTGTCTTTTCTTTAGCCAATGAGAAGATTGATGATATCAATGGGTGTCCCAAAAGCCGTTCTCAGATGGTAAGTGACCTCTAAACTTTTTCACTGCAAAAACACAAACTCTTACAAAGTATTTATGGTCCACATTTTAGTGCAAATATCTCAGTGCACTTGAATGAAGACAAAACTCTTACAAGTAACTTTTTAGGAACATATTGACTCTTTTGTAGCGTGAACTCAAGATCCCATCAACATCTCCACGCTGGAGGGCAAAACCTGCTTGCTGACTAAGACGACCATTATTGGCTTTAGCTATTTAGTTGTGAATATAACACATTAAATCTTAAATGTACACTTCAGATAAAACAGGACAAAGAACACTACGCTTTGCTACTAATTGTCAAAACTACAACAACTAGATAACAAGGACAGAAAAGTTTGAGTTAAGAAAGAAAATAGTGAAGGAGAGGGAAGTAGTTGTGATATGCTAGCTTGACTATGACAACTTTAACGTGTAGGTGTGCTGTGGGATTCTGTGTGTTTCGGTTCAGTTGAAAAATACAAAATGTAACCAGAACACCAATTCTGACAGGTCATCACAAGAGCAGGTGTTTAAATGAGCTAATCTACCTCCGCGCTGGTTGATTAGCGAATAGCAGTGGTAGCTAATCTGCCACAGAAATCACTTATCAATAATCGCAAAATAAACATCAAGCCTGAAAACATGAAACTGTAACGGACTTCTGATACATTTGGTGGCGTTGTCTGCATGTAGCGCAGCCGACACAGACGGTAGTCATCCAGATGTAAGCAATAACATGCAGAGGGTCCAAATACTAGTTCCAGTGCTGATTATTTCAGTTATAACAGGAAAAATGTGAAATAATCTGCCAACTGGACCAGTATTTTCTCATCAATATTAAGGAATTTTTCACTTAAAACAAACTCAATTATCTTCCTTTAAAGTTACTTTTAAGTTATTTTTGTTTTCTTTCAAGTGGACCAACATATTTGCACTAAAATGAGATCAGAAAAACTTGTTTTTTGCAGTGTAGCAGTGTGTGTGCGTGCATCTGTGTGTAGTAACTCTCCCCTATGGAAGCTGCGGTACAGAAATCCCTGTGAGTGATTGTAGATGGGAACCGAAAGTCCATTTATATTTACTTTTATGGTCTAGTGGGCTACCGTCTGCGAAACATCTGGCCCAGACTTCGGGCTGTTGGCTCCCAGTTAAAAGCACCGCAGGTTTGGGTTTCAGAGCCACTTATGCCTCATCTTGTTCCACCAGTGAGGAGCAGCGGATTTTCTCAACGTTTAAACGCTGTTTTCTGTTGTTGTTGGGAAACGGGCGGCGCATCCCGAGGCCGGCCGGCCCGCCCTCCGCTGTGTGTGATGGGCTATAAATTGGGCCGGTGTGCCAGCTGAGCGGGGATATTTCTGGCCACCAGCCAGATTATTGAAGCCTTTCTAAGCACCAGAGAGACGCGGAGAGACGAGCACACCCAGATTTAACATCTGAGACAGAGGTGGAACCACAGCTGATCCCAAACCCAGAGGGCATCTAAACTGCCCTCCTGGAACAGATCTTGGTCTGTTTTCATGTGTTTAAATATTTTTTTGTTTCATTGCATATTTACACACGAGTAAATAAATAACATAACAGTATAAGAATGAAATTTTATGAGAATGCAGTCAAAATAAGATGACGATCTTATTACGAGAATAAGATTGTATGAGATTGATGTTAAAAGATTAAAGTTATAATAATAAGAGGAAAAGTCAGAATATTTAGACAATAAAGTCAATATGTAGAAAATACAGTTAGAATATTTAATGAATAAAGTCATAAAAAATGTAGAGATTAAATTATCATATTCAGAAAATAAAGTTAGAATAAACTTATGATATTTAGAGACATGAAGCCATATGAGAATAAGTAGAAATAATAGAAAGATAGAAATAAAGTTGAACGAGAATAAGCTTTCACCACATGCTTTGTTTTTTTTTAATCTGAATTAAAGTTATTCTTTGTTTCTTGGGTTCCTTTTGCCCTTAGCTTGACAAAAATAGCTCCACTTTACAGAAGACCATCAAATGAGGCTTTAAAAACACATTTCATCTTGGTTATTCTTAGACGGTGCGTTTAATTTATGGTGGCTAGCTTTGAATGAGCCTTTATATGCTGAGCTTCAGTGGGTATTATTGGATCTCTGGGTGTAATCTCAGCAACTTCGTCAGCTTTGAAGGAAACGCGGCGCCGTGAAGGGCAGGTGCAACCGCAGTCATTATGCTAAAATCTGCTTTGTGTTTGTAGCGCCGTCAAAACAAACACGCGCAGGTTTGGGGAGTTTGTTTGACAGCTGGCTTGGAGAAACTCCACTTTAAACTCCCAAAGCTTCCAGTGGATGTTGCCAATTACCAGCGCTTAGCTTAACCCGGGCCTCTAAATGTCAAAAAGAAACACATCAACTGCAAAAGCATCAAATGTTTCTGCAGTGTGAGGTTGAACACCTTGCTCAGGCATAAGGGTGCCCACATATGCACTTGGCACCAGGACACCTGAAGCCGCAGTTCGATGGTGGACTTTGTCATCGTGTCATTGTCTCTTCGTCTCTTCGGCCGTATGTCTTTGACAGAAAGGTGCGGAGTTGTCCGGCTTAAGGGGAGGAAGCCGGTCAGACCTGGCAGGCCCAAACGGGTTGTGAGGGTCTGCTGGGAACGTCTGGCAGATTCCCCTGTGAGACGGAAATAATATATTTGCATTAGAAAATGGAGCTAAAATACTTGGTTAGATTTAGTGTTTTTGTAGTTTTCAGAAGGAGTTTCTGTTTTTACAGCTGACTCGTCCTTGTTAAACGGACCCCCATGAACCGGTCAGTGCTGAACCACCCAGTTTTAGTTTTAGTTTGTTGGTTTAGTCCAGATTAATGGTGTGGATTTCACACTGAGCTGTGAAAACCACACAGGATGCCAGTAAAACACGAGTTTGGTTTTTAAAGTGGTCCAGATGAAAAGCAGGAAGAGTTTAGCTTGTTTTCTGATTGCTCATTGCATGATTGTTGGCCTGTAGTTTTTTTTTTCCTGCTGCTGTCAGAACTGTCAGAGTTGAAATGGGAGACTGACAGCTATACCTGGGTGGAAACCAGCAGGGCCGGGTATTTAATGGCTTTTCCTGCTTGTGTGTACTTGTTTAAAATCTCAACTGACATTAAGGTTTTCCTGTACAGAGATGTATCCTTCCAGGTTTCACTCTGAAAGTCAGTTTGAGTTTAAATCGACACTCAGCGACATTTTAATTGCTTTTCCTTTTTCATGACGGGTGAGTGTCGTTTTCTAGACTTTTAAGCTTTGGTTTAAAACATGTTAGCTGCTTGACACGTACTTTAGAAACAGTCGTTTGATATTTTATTCTGTCTGTGAGAAAATTGTAAGGAGTTTTTTTTCCAGAAATGTTCAAAAAATAAAAATTTAAATTGTGTGACAATTTGTTTCCACAGTTTGGCATTGATTTATAAAGAGACAGTTGGTATTTAAATCACCTTCAGGCACAGAAACTTACAACCGTTTTGGTTTCTTTGACACAATGCTGCATGTTCGCAGTTTAAAGCTGGAGAAAAAGTTTCCTGAGCAAATAACTTATTGCACTTAAAACAAGATAAAGGCTGCATTCACACTGCAGCTTGAAGTGACCCAATTTCAATTTTTTGACAAATGAGATATTTTTGCCGGGCCGTTCACCTGTATGTGTTCTGCAGTGTGAACGAGCAAATGATTTGAAAGTGCGGAGTCATTCTCGGTGTTCTGCCAACCGCCAATAAAAAGAAGAAGTGCTCCATGTTTAAACATGGATGCTAATGGTGGAGCATAGCTTACGCATTTGAAGTTGTTGTCCAACCGGAGCAGCATATTAACAACTTAATCCTCTTTGTAGCCCTTCCTGGTTGTTGTTATTCTTCTCGCTGGCGTGTATCAGGGCGCAGGATGGTGAGATTTTGTTGACGTTCAGTTCGGATGAATGCGACCTGGACGTTTGGTCGCATTTGAATCGGATGCGTATTGGATACCCAAGCGGCCTTCGAAAAGAATCCGAACTGTGTTGTTCAGACTGTCACGGTCACGAAAAGATCGGATACGGGTCGGATCATGTAAAAAAAAAAAAAAAAAAAAATCAGAATTGGGTCACTTCAGGCTGCAGTGTGAATGCAACCAAAAGCTAACTGAAAAGTAACTTTTGTTTTTCGCAGTATGGGTATAAAGAGTCTGAATTTTTATACTTTCACTTTGACTTTATTTTCTCCTTCAGAATTATAAAATAGGAGGATATTAGAGTCAAGAAGTTAATTTTATTTTTCTTTGCCTTCCTAGATTGAGCCCTCAAAAATTACCTGGTTCAATTCGAGATCAAAGTTGCAACATTTGTTACATTTTCAGCTGCTGCTCTGCATCAAATAATCCAAACACTTTTAAAAACCTGTTCCCATCCTCACCTGAGGGGGCGCTGCAGCATGAACCACTGAAGGAAACAACGCGACTTACTTCTTCGCAAAATGTAAACAGAAATGGAGTAGCATCAGATGTAACGGTTGTAGGATTTCTCTTTTGTTTTTGGTAAAAGACAATGAGTCACTTCTCCTGCTTGCGCTAGGCTAACTCATTTGTTTTGGCTGTATTTACCCAGAATGCCCTGCACTATTGACCTTTGTGACAGTACTTCTTTTATTGCTTAAAATAAGCTTCTGTATTTTGCTGAAAAGTTAAAGTTACTTCTAAATTATTTAAAATTTATTAGGATCCTCACACTGAAATTAGATTGAAAATACTTGGTGAGGTTTTATTTTTGCAGTGTAAAAATTTCAATCAACAGTTGATTTATTTGTGCATTTCTTGTTATGTCTGTTGCTGTTAGAGGTTTTTTTTTTTGGATTTGGAGAATGCAAATGATATAACCACATAAATATTTAATATGAATTCACAAAACTGTTAGTGTCAACAAAAACAATTGCCAAAGATAGTTTGAAATCTAACAATTTACAGTGTAAGAAAAAAAGAGTGTTTCAGTGGAGAGTGTGTGGGAAAATCCCATGTTTAGTCACCAAGTCAGAGCTGAGATGATCACATGTTGAACTGATAAGAAAAGAGCAACTTTAGTTTCTGTTGCAAAGCAACAAAAAAGAGAAAAAGTGAATCATTTGCTGTTTTGTTTTTTTTATCTCTGGGAAAATAAAATGGCGCAAATGCAGCAGAGGGTGAAATAACAAGCTGAACGGAGAAAACTTCCCATGTTTGACCCTGGGGTTTGGTTTTCTCATGCAGTGAGAAGAGCATTGCCACTGGCTGCAGATGCACTCAGTGTTCCTGTTTTGTAGCAAAAAGTCATCTGCAGCTGATCAGCAGCGCAGACAGTTTCCCTCCAGGAATCTGGGAAAAGTGTGGCCTTTAAAAATACAGACATTAGTTCAGGCATGTTCTAAAAACTAAATAGGAACTGTTCATTGAAAATAAAACGATAGAATAACAGGCAATGATAAATGACAGGTAGAGAACCATACTAGCTCTTATTTATCTAGTATGAATCTATCTGTGGCTTCCATTATTGTCTCATTTTGCAAACTAAGAGTTTAAAAACAAATCTCATCCAGTAGATAAGATTTTGTACGACTGTAAATATCTTAGTTCACTTGAAATAAGACAAAACTGGTGACTTTTCAGGAAGATATAAGGGCTTGTTTTAGTTAATAATCACTTAAACTTGATTATAAAGTTCTAGATCCACTGGCAGATTATTTCACTTTTAACAAGGAAAAAATATCTGGTTATAAGTAAAGTAAAGTAACCTACCAGTAGAACTGACACTTTGTCAGCATATTTAATAAACTGTTGATATAAAACAAGCTCATAAATCTTCCTGAGCTCAGTTAGTTTTGTCTTATTGCACTTCTAAAAATTAAACCAAAAATACTTAAGAGGAATACTTTTTACAATGTACAGTTTACAGACCAACATCTGGCTTCAGTGCAGTTCTGTATTATTTAGCATTAGCAACAATTCTTTGCTCCATGTCTCCATATTATTGGAAAGGTTTTTGTTGTCAGATTGTAGTGCAGATCTCATGCTAATGTAGTTGAGCTGGGAAAATGATAAGCAACCATTAATATGTCAAATGAGTGATAAATCACAGTGATTGCTAAGCTATATTGAGAAACAGGAAACTACGTAGCTTTAGCTTAGCTTAAAAACAATGAAATATAATGCAAAACACCAAAAGTTGTCAAATTTTAAGTCACCAATGGTAACTGTAAGCCATCAAAATCCTGCTCTTGCAAAAAAAGTACTCCTGACCTCTCTTCCTCTTTCTCTCTCTCACACACACACCCATAAACACACACACGCACACACTCATACACACAATAGCAGTCCTGTGATGGTTGGAAGTGTTTGTTCAGTTGTTGGCCGGCCGGCCCAGTGCGGCTGTCAGGAACCGGAGCAGGCGGTGACCGACGGCAGAGCCGTGGCGAGAAGTCGGCCTCAGACTCGTTTAGAGGTATTTTCAGATAAGGAGGCTTTATTCTGGATTTTCTAGATTTAACAGTCACAGTTTGCAGCATTTTCAGCACAGAGTGTTTTCTCATATGCTGAAGAATAATTGTGATAGATTTTTTTTCTATAAGGATTTTTATTGTGGTTTTGGGAAGGTTTTTTTCATAAGCTTGTAGTCTCAAAGAGTATTGATGAGACTAACTAGTGTTTTAGTTAAAGTCTTTGGCATTTTAAGACAGTTTCATTATGACTGGTTTTAACTTCTCATGTTGTAACTACTGAAAATCAGGAACAAACAGCTGTGGAAAAAATATAAATTTCAGAATTCTGACTATTTTTCTCAGAATTGTTGTGTTTTTCTCCAAATTTTGATTTACTCTGAGAATGTGGACATTTTTCTTAGAAATTTGACTGTCAGAACTGTAATGTTTTTGATCAGAATTTTGATGTTTTTATCTGGATTTTTACATTTTTCTCTGAATTCTGATGTTAATCTCAGAAGATGTTTGATATTTTTCTCAGAATGTTTGATTTAATCTGAGAATTTGGACAATGTTCTCAGAAATTTGACTGTCATATCAGAATTGTGATATTTTCCTCAGGATTTTTATTTGATCAGAATTATGATGTTTTTATCTGAATTTTGACGGATCTGAGCCACATAAATATGAGTTTTGCTGCAGATTTGGACCTCTGAACGAAGTTTCTGTGTTTGCTGTGCATTCATCTTCCTGCAGGTTTAAAATAGCACAAGGTTTCAGTGTTTTACCCCCCGGAGAGGCGTGGCTGGGTACATCTCAGCAGGACAGGCCTGGCATTTACGACGAGACTCTCTGAAGGTGACTGCTATTCAGACTGCAGCTATAACAGAGAAAGTGGCAGTGAGAATAGTTCAGTCACCAAAGTGAGGTTTCAGATTCAGGGTATTGAAGAAAGACTTGGTGAGGGCGGCTCTTCAAAGAGGGTTATTTTTGGGTAGTTGTGGTATTCAAAGAAGGACATAGTCCCCATTCTTGCCCTACTTGTACTCTACGCCGTGTCATCTAGACGGACAGCATATGTCTGCTATACTGACAGCTGTTTCTCAGATCAGAGATCACAGATATGTCAGCAGGGGAGTTTTGACTCAGTCAGTTGACCTGCTCATACGCCAAAATAGCACTTGGAGGTTTAATTAAACAGGAGTTAACAGGAGTTAATTTAACAGGAGTTAAATTAAAAGATAGTTGGTGACACTCACATAGGACTGGACAATAAATCAATAATATTTATATATCTATCAATAGACAGAAAGGCTTTAGTGCCACTGCCAGTTGAGCCAGTTATTTGCCTCATAACTGCTTAAAAATAAACAACAACGACGTGGAGTGAAAACTGTGGATAAGTCAGGAAATGTCAGTTCACCAGTTTGGCAGCATTTCAGATATTGAAGCAAAACAAAAACTTAAATAAGTATCGATATTGAATTATATGAAACACTTCCATGTCATCCAATTCTAGAGAGCCAGATGTTTCACAAACAACATTGCAACAAAGCTATTTTTTTTTTGCATTCTAATAAACACTTTTTTTTATTGCTTATTTATTAAAAATAAATAAGCAAAATATAAGAAACAGCAAATAAAATGAATTATGGAGTCTCTGGAAGCAAAATAATTTTTAAAAAATGGTCTAGTTGAGACAATAGCAGCTGAATGAAGACTTTTGTCATCAAGTTTTTGTAGAGAGAGAGAGAAAACCTTTAAATCATGCAATTGGAATAATAAAAAATAGTTTTATTGATTTATTTCTTATAGGAATTAGTCCAGCCAACATTCGGGTAGTGTCTTTCATCCAAATGTTTTGCTTCATAGTTGTAGTGAACAAGAAGGACCAACGTCAAAATAGATGCAAGCTTTACTTTGGTTTATGTACCATCATTGAATTTCTTTATTTATTTAAAAGTTCACATGATAGAAAATGTAAAAATCCCTTTTTGCCTCTGGCTTCTCCCCTTAAAGTCGGAGGCATCCCAACCGGAGAATCTGTAGGTCAGGCTATATTTAGCTGCTGCATATTAAGTGTAATGGTGTCATTAATCGCTGGATAAATGGCACCCAACTGCTTTTTGCCCTCATCCAATGGAGTTAGTGTGTAGTTTATATGTGTTTTACTTTCTGGATGGCTCTGAGGATTGATTTATTTTTTTTTTATGTTTAAGTGTTCCAGGTTTTCCCAACTTTCTTACATTCTTCACCTTTTTGGGGTTTCTGTTAGTTTGTGAAGCCGGTTCTGTAATGTTCTGCTCATCTGAGAGTCTCATATCTGACAAGAAAGGAGTGTTTTGCGCCATATTGATATCTTTTATGCGTCACCCTTTGTGTTTACTCATCGCCTACAACCTTTGGTCATCCCCATTTAATGACTTGTTTTATGTGGTTTACTTTATAATCACGTGACCCGGTCATCACATTCTGGGCATAATGGGTCAGACAATCCCGAAACAAAGCCAGTCTGCCTTTCAAATCCTCCTGTTGTCCAATGGCAGCTCAGCAGGTTACCAGGGCTGTCGTTATAGCAGCTGAGCTGCAATAGAGGGGTTGTTTCAGTTGAGAACTGCTGACACATGTATGATTGATTTTTTTTCACCAATGTCATCAAAATAAGTCTTAATTCACCATGAAGCAGAATTTAAAAAAATATAATAGATATAATTAAAATAATTAAAGAAAATGTTTCAGCGCCAAACATGCAAAGGCCAGAGCAGTAATTCCTCTACTCCATATAGATTAGAATGTAAATATGGAGTCTTTGACAAAGACTCTGTTGACTTGCTCTTGTGTTTTTTCCTCTCCAGATTGAGAACATTGATGCTTGTTTGAGTTTCCTGGCAGCTAAAGGAGTCAACATCCAGGGTCTGTCTGCAGAAGGTGAGCTAGACTGATGCATGACCCTGAATGTTTTGGGTTTTACTAATTCAATACTTCACATGTTCTGCTTTCTCTAAAATTGAGTTTGGGGTGCTCTAAGGTACAATCCTGGGATTCCTCTCATTCATGATGCTCCCACTGCCTCAGGTTGTAAGATTAGTTATCATATCTATGCAGATGATACTCAGCTCTATATTACAATGTCACCAGGTGAAATCATGCTGAACAAAATGCTCTGAACAGTATTTTATCAATATTTTGTTTTCAGCTGAACTGAAACAAAACTGAAGTTTTTATCTTTGGACCTGAAGAGGAACAATCTAGTCAGTTATTACAGCCAGAAACCAGCGATCAGGCCTGAAATCTGGGTGTAGTCATGAACTCAGAAATAAACTTTCAGAGACACATAAAGGCAGTTACAAAGTCAGCTTTCTGTCACATGAAGAACATTTCCAGAGTTCAGGTCCAGGGAAGATCTAGAGAAACTCCTGTATGCGTTGATCTTTACTGGTCAACATTGGAACATTGACCAGTACAGTTAATGTGACAAAATGTAACGTCTGTTATTGGTTTTCACAACTATTGACTGTTGACTGATGTTTTTTAATGTTTTCACAGTGCAAAGCACTTTAAACTGCTGAAATGTTCACATAAATAAGGTAGATTCTCTGTCTGACCCTCAGAGATTCGTAATGGGAATCTGAAGGCGATCCTCGGCCTCTTCTTCAGCTTATCCCGCTACAAACAGCAGCAGCAGCAGGCCCAGCGGCAGAACTCCCAGCCCAGCCTCCCGCCGGCGGCCCAAACCCAGAACACACACCCTTCCCTGAGCCAGCAGAGCAGCGCTCCGGCACAGCTCAGCCACTCTCCGCATGGGACGCCCGCCCTCACAGCACAGAAAGCAGCACAGGCCGAGATGCAGTCCAGGTGAGGTTTGTTCGCCAAATCAGTGCAGATTGAAGATGCAATGTGTAACTTTGACAAAAAAACAAACAAAACGTTTTTACATATTTGTTTAAACTGTCACCTTGTTGTGACTGAAAACGTGATCTCGAGTGCCTTCTGAAGAAATGCACCAAAAACAACTAATCAGAGCCAAGAGGGGGGCTTACCGCTGTCAATCACACCCATGTACACGCTAATGGTGGATAAACAGATTATGGCTGCAGAAAGTCGTCCATCATTGTTGGCTACGCTTAGGTTTGTCATGATTACAAATTTTGCTAAACAAGAAATTGTCCCAGAAGTTATTGCAATAATCCATAATGTTTTGAGATTATTTCAATTCATATAATGATAATGGAATAATAATAATGATGCTAAAACACATTCTCAAAGCTCAAACTTTATATTTTAATAACATTTAATGCTGGAACTAGAAGACTGTTTAAATATCCACAACAAATAAACAAAACAATAAAACAAGTAAAACTAAACAAAAATGTCCTTCAAATAACAGCTAGTTGAGAGCAAAAACCAGGACAATTCAAAACTAGAATTGTAAAAAACCAATAAACCATGCAAATGGTAATTATCGATATACTTTTAATTTATTATGCGATTAATTGATTTGTTGCTTATTGCAAAAGGTCATTATTAGCATAGCCAGTCATGAATCCTGAGCTTCATGACAGCTCAGCATTCAATCATCTGATTGGTTGTTTCTAGTTAGCTCTGGGAGAAGACGAATTATCTGTAAATTGTCACGACAAATTGACAGTTTCAACAAATAAGTAAAAAAAATATATATTTTAACAAAAATTACATACTGCAACTTTAACCAGGACACAGGATTGGATGAAATTTTCTGCTTCACTTTCTTCAATCCATCATTTTGACATTCTATCTTCTTGCTCACATTTCATATCATTTAAATTTCTAAACATGACTTCTCTCCCATCCTCCTCCACGTCTCCCGTCTCTTTTCTTCTTCTCCTCCTCCAGGGATGCTTGTCAGAGTAAACTTCTCAAGTTTTCCATTGGTCAGAAAAAGAGCTCTAGGTCAGCTTCACTTGCTCTCCTGATTTCCTGCCCTTTCCTTCACCTCACCAGCACTTTCACCTGAAATTACACTGCAAAAACACAAACTCTTACCAAGTGTTCGTCTAGTCGTTCGTGTGAATATCTTAGTACACTTGAAATAAGACTAAAGTAACTTTTTATTAAGATATATGAACTTGTTTTAAGTCAGTAATTTCTTAAAATTCAAGGAAAAGCATTGACTCCATTGGCAGATTATTTAATTTATTACATATACAGCAATATTAAGCAATTATTGACACAAAAAGCTCACATTTCTTGCTGAAAAGTTACTTAAAAGTCAGTTTTGCCTTTTCAAGTGGATTATGATGTTCGCATTAAAAATATTTGATAAGATTGAATGTTTTTACAGTGTAGAAAGCTAGAAATCGCCTCTAATCAGAGATAACTTATTTTTTCAACCATTATGAGGTTCCTATTGCTTCTTTGTCTGTGATTAAGGGCAATTTCTACTACAAGCACCATCAATAATGCATGAGTGATGGTGCTCCGCAGATAGACACTAAAGCTCCTGGCTCCACTTTCAGAGGGTTCTTGTCTGTTTCTGGCATCACGCCTCATTTGGCCGGTCTGCTAAATGGGCTGTAAAAGACCTTTAGATAACCCTTAAGTAAGTAAGTGTGTGGGTTGGTTTTCTTGACAAGAACGTCCCCCTCTCCCCTATATAATGTGACATTAATAATTAACACAGAACCTGCAGCAGGGATTGTGCGTTTGAAGTGATGCGTGACAGAAACTTGCCTTTGTTCTGTTTCGTTTGGTTCTGTTGACGTTTTGTCAGATTCTCAGCATGCATTTTACTCTAAAGTGATAACTTTCTCTTTGAAACTGAATGCAAGATCTGGTTTTGCATGCAGCCCGTCCCAAAGCTGCACCTGCCTCCTGTAGACACTACAGCCCCTCAAATGTGGTTCAATGTCTCCATCTTCTGGTCAACTTGCATAACTACAATGTGAAGACATTGCTGTAGATGCCTGGTTATTTCAATGTATTTATATGTATTTTAATACTCAAAATGTGTGTTAAAGGTAATAAAATGTGCAAATATATTATTTTTGTCAGCATTTATTCTGAATATGTTTGTTAAAATGTGTTTAAACATAGAATGCTGCATTTATTAGATGAAATATTATCTAATGTCAGCAAAGTGCATTGACAATGAGCCATGTTTCTAGTGGCATAGCCAGTGTGTTTTTGTCATAAAACAAAAAAACATTTATAACTTTTAAATATTTTTATTGTGGCTTTTGGTTGTGAATAACTTCATAAATGTTAAATTAGAAGTTTTTTTTTTAAAAAAGAATGAGTATTTGCAACTCAAATCCAGATCTTTATACTTAAACTATAACATATTTGCATTAATATGTTGAAACCAAAAATTTTTTTGTCTCTTTGTTTTTGACTTTTTGTTAGAATTAGAAATGTACAACAGTTCTTGCTGACCTTCCTAAACCAGTTCTTACCTGTTCTGTGTGAAAAAGTCCTTTTTTGTGTCAAATCAAATGTTCACATATTTTAAAGTTCCCTGTGAAAGCTCAGATGTCTGGCCTCATTACTCCCCTCTCCCATTGTTTTTTTGTTTTTTTCCCTGATCTGTTGATCAGACTTCCTGGCCCGACAACAAGGGTGTCCACTGCTGGCGGTGACGTCCCTCCCAGAAGCTCGGTCAGCGCTGCTGGAAACCGGCGCAGTCAGGGCTGCAGTGACAAGACCAAAGCAAGTTTACATCCGAACAAAGGTGAGAAATTTCATAAATGGAGAAAGTTTTGCATAGAGTTTCATCTTATATCCTAACAAGAATCACAAGAACATTGGTTAACTTGTTGTGATTGTAAATTGTTTTAATTTATTCTTAATTCCAGTAATGCTAAAAAAAAGACCCCATTGTTGGGCTTGCTAGTTTTACTGTTTTATGGACTATTCAATTTAAGCATCAATAACTTTAAAAATATGCTTAAATGAAGGTACGATTTGCAGTTCAATTATTTTAATCACTCTTTTATGTGACTGGTTTTGGAAACACAGCCAATGCTTTGTGGATACTGAAACTATTTGTGTGTATCTGTCAAAGGAAAAGAAATCCTGTGGAAAAAGTAATGCAAAATATTTTTATTTAGAAAAAAATATGAAAGATAAGTTTTGTCAATAAGTCATGAGGCCTAGAAGAGATTAGCATTGACATGAGACATCTTTAAAACAGTCCAAAATGGGCTCAAGTGGCAGGTAAAACCAGAAATAACAAGAGCCCCAAATACAGAACCCTGAGGTACATCAAAATGAAAATGGTTTAAATTCATAACTCTTATGTGAGTGAGACTAGTAAGAGGATTGATCATATGCAAAGATTTCTTATCATGCATGCACTCTAAAAATTTAATTATGTGGCAGAAGTAATGACAACTATTTTTATTTAGATTTAAACATGTAGAATATGTTTTTTTGATAACTTTTGAGGCCTAAAAGAGTTTAGCATTGAAATGCTAAATGTTCTCAAAAGGCATGTAAGTCTAACAATAACAAGGGCTCCAAATACAGAACCCTGAGGTACACCAGTCTATGGTGAAGTGAATGAATGAGCCTGGTTGGCTGCTAGGCCAATTGTCATAGCTTCTTGTTGTGCACCAGGAAAGAAATGCGTGTAATGCCAGATATTGTTATTTAGCAACAAGCATGTCAGAAATGTTTTTTTTTCATAATTCATGAGGCCTAGAAGAGATTAGCTTTGACATGAGTCATCTTTAAAGCTGCCCAAAATGTGCTCAAGTTGGCATATAAAACCAGAAATAACAAGGGCCCCAAAAGCAGAACCCTGAGGTACACCAGTCTATGGTGAAGTGAATGAATGAGCCTGGTTGGATGCTTGGCCAATCGTCGTAGCTTCTTGTTTTGCACCCTAAAAGAAAAGCGTGTGATGCCAGATATTGCTATTTAGCAACAAGCATGTCGAGATTAGCATTGACATGAGCCATCTTTAAAGCTGCCCAAAATGTGCTCAAGTGGCATATAAAACCAGAAATAACAAGGGCCCCAAAAGCAGAACCCTGAGGTACACCAAAATGAAAACGGTTTAAGGAAGCCCTATAATTTGAAGCAGCCCCACAGAAGGAATGATTGGAACGATATGAAGAAAACCACGGAGAGGCAGCGCACGATACGGCAGGCCAGTACCTCAACCTGATGTGGCGGTCAGCGTATCAAAGGTTCGGTCCAACATAAGGACAGGACATTCTGTGTCGCTTCGCACCACATCATACTGAGAATAGCTGATGACGTTTACTGAACCCTGATTGAAATGTATGCTGTTTTTACTCAGAGATGCAGTGAAAACAAAGAGCAACTCCCCTGAACTTCTGGTTCAGCCTTGATCAGCATGCTGCAGCCATCTGAAAGTGTTTATTTTATAAGAAGCAGCACTCAGTTTTGGTCGAATTGTTAAGCCAGGAAAGAAAAGCAAGAGGATCCTCTTAAAACGAGAGTGCAAACATGTTAATGTTCCTCTACAACCCCTGCAGCTTCTCTGTTTTTACAATCTGCTTCAGGTATTTGGCAGCAGATTTAGCATAAATGGTGCTTGAAGCGACCGTTCAGTTGACCCGACCTTTATATAGACTTTGTTAGTGTCCGACATCTAAACTCATTACCCAGAATTACACAGGGAGTTTTGACCGCCCAGAGAGACTGGGAGAGAGAGCGATTTCATTGTGTTAAACAGTGCCAGGCTAACCCTGCAAAAACACAAAATCTTACCTTTTTTTGTGTAGTTTCTAGTTCAAATATATTAATATATTTCAAATAAGACAAACCTAACTTTTCAGTGAGATGTAGGAGCTTGTTTTAAGTTTGTTAATACTGATGAAACGTAATAGATCAACTGGCAGATTATTTAACTTTTAACAAGACATTTTTTCCATGTTATAAGTGAAATAATCTGACTGTATATCTCATACTTTTTCCATTAATATAAGGCAGTGCTTCTCAATTATTTTCCATTACGCCCCCCCTAGCAAGAAGAAAACTATTCGCGCCCCCCACTCCCCACCGTGACTATCCATCTCTGCATAACATTTTTTCCTTATTAACATTTTTTTCGCTGAAAAAACTCTAGTGGCTTATCGGCGTGATTGGGATGTAACATATTTAAGTGACGCGCTAATTTATTTGGCTTCATGCTGTCCGCTGCGAGCATTTTTAGACACAGCAAACACACCGGTCTTTCCTCTTCTCCAACTGTAGTCACAGTGAAGCCAAGCGCTAAATACGCTTCGTCGTATTTCCTCTTCTTAGCTTTCGGTTGACTTTCTGTTGTCTCATTATCTTTGTCTCTCTCCGCTTTTCTTTTCATCCCTGTGAAAAACTTTTTATGTTGGGGGTTGTTGAATAACGGAGGCCATAGACAGAACGCAGTCGGAGCTTTTTGTTGACTTAACACTGCTACCCAAGGCAAACCTGTTGTCTTGTAAGTCGTAAAATGTTGCACTGTCGCAAACGTGACAGAAGTAACAATGAGAGCGCCACTGCCGCCTACTGTGCGCAATTACACTTTATACTAGTATGGCCAAAAAAAAAGCCTGTTCCCCAGGATCACACGCCCCCCAGGTATCGCACCGCGCCCCCCAAAGGGGGCCCGCCCCACTATTTGAGAAGCACTGTATTAAGGAGTCATTTATGTAAATTAAGCTCCTATATCTTCCTTAAAAGTTAATTTGTAAGTTAGTTTTTTCTTGTTTCTAGAAAAGTCATAATGTACCATCTACTTGACAACCCTGAAAAAGAATCAAACATGGAGAACCAACATTTAGTTTTATCAGAACAAGAATCCAAAGAAACCCCTAGTACTTTCTATATTATTAGTTTTTATAGTATTTTTATTATTATTAAACATGGGGAACCAAAATGTAGTTTTATACTTTTACCTTGTGTTTCTTTTGGTTTGTTGTTTGTTTGTTTTTCTCCTTCTAATTCAGTAAAGCAATGAAATGGCATGCTGCTGAAAATGTGCCATACAAGTAGAATTACCTTGCGCTTGATTGACAGCGCCAAGACCCGCCCCCTGGCTATGATTGGTTGTTTTTGGTCAGGAGCGCTGCATTTCATCAGTAGCTCAGAGTGTGATCTTCTCACAGATTATCTGCCTCATATTACACTGTAACAACATGGTGTCAGTTTTAAGAACTATATAAAAAACATATTTTTAAAAAATTATCTATTGCAGCTTTAATTGATTCTTCATTTGCTGTTAAATAAGCTTGTCTTAGCTTCAATCCAGAAAGAAAGAGTCCCTTTGTTCACATTGAATAAAGTGAGGCTGTTTTGCTGAACGGTTTCACATTATGCTGAATGAAGGTGCATAAAAGCAGCAGTAAATGGTCTCAGCTGCATGAAGACGGGCTGGGATGTTAGCAGTCAGCTGACGGGCGAAGCATGAATGAAGCAGATGATCTCAATTACCTGCAAACTGTCTGCTGCTCAGACTCTCAGGAAGAGCAGAGTGGAAATAAATGAAAAAATGTCCAACATACTCCAATAAAGGAAGAGCTTTTATAAGCATTTCAATGGAGCGCATACACTGTAAAACCTAAGTAGTTCTTCTTACTTAAAATGGCAGTATTATGTATTAGTGCCTTTTTTTATAGCACAATCAAGCAACTTTAACTTCAGTTATTATAAAAATGCCTATATATCAAATATTAAAATAAATTTAATTTTGTAATTTACCACCTTGAAATTAGGAAATGAATCTGTCTCTTTTGGAAGCTCCTTCTCTTTCTGAAGCTCCGCCTTCATGGCTCCTCTATTAACCCGTTAACAGTGTTTTTTGTTTGTTTTTTCTTCAACCAGCATTTCACTGAGAAGTAGCTTATAACATGAAATGCACAATGCCACTTGATGTTTGCTAATTGCTGCTGGCTAGTCTGAAGGAGCTGACCAAGGGAGGGCCTCACTGCGAGGCGTTTTTTCACATCTGAATAGTTGCTAAGATTTCTTAAACATCCATGAAAGAATCAATGCAACACTCCAGGTGTGCTTTAGATGAGGACATAAAATTATAAGGTGATATAAAGCTCAAAAACGTCTTTTTTACATAAAAAATATGTATTGCCTCAAATTTTTCCAGTTTCCATTAAATTAACTGAGGAACAGCTACTTGTGCAGGTTTAGTGAGTATAACTACAGTTAACTTAATAAATCTGAGGATGTTGTAGTTACTTAAAGAAAATTGTATAAAAAGCTTGATTGAGAATGTTTCTACACTGCAAAAACACCAAATCTTGCCATATATTTTGATCAAATTTCTAGTTCAAATATTTCTTGCAATAAGAAAAAATATCTCAGGAGCTTGAGTTATAGGAGCTTTTTTTAAGTAAATAATTCCTTAATATTGATGGAAAAAGCTCTACTTTGTCTAGTAAATAAATTCACTTAAAACAACACGGGTTTTACAGGTTACAAGTTAAATAAACTAGAACTTTTTCATCAATACTAAGGAATTATGCACTTGAAACAAGCTCCGATATCTTGATGAAAGTTAAATGTAAGTTACTTTTTTTAATTTCAAGTCTATGAAGATATTTGCACTGGAAACTAAACCAAAAATGCTTTGTGAGATTTTATGTTTTTGCATTTTGCATTTTGTAGTAATCAGTAATACTACTACATATTTTGGAATAAAGAATTGCACAATGTATTTGTGTATTTTATGACATTATTACATATTGTGTAGCTTCATTTTAAGGTTGC